TAGTGAGCTTGGGGCACAATTGCCTATAGGCCTTTGCGCTGATTTAAATCTGTGACATGCAGAGATCATGCGTATTAGGTTGAATGGCGTTCTTGTCGCATATAATAATTTATGTGTCCCACATCCATCATCTCATTGTTGGTTGTATAAATACTTTTCGGATGAAAAACTCACTATCAGCTACACTGCGCTGATGAGCCCCAAAAGGGCGAAACAGTTGTCCGCAGTTGCTGGTAGTGAGCTTGGGGCACAATTTCCTATAGGCCTTTGCGCTGATTTAAATCTGTGACATGCAGAGATCATGCGTATTAGGTTGAATTGGCGTTCTTGTCGCATATATATATATATATATATATATATATATATATATATATATATATATATATATATATATATATATATATATATATATATACGACAAAAACGCCAATTCAACCTAATACGCATGATCTCTGCATGTCATATATATATATATATATATATATATATATATATATATATATATATATATATATATATATATATATATATATATATATATATATATATATATATATATATATAATTAATTCTTGTTCTCCGTAATTAAACGAAGAGTGCTCAATACCAATATACGATAGAGCTTAAATAATTCTTTAATCTTAAAATATATTTGTCGCTACACTGTGTTTCACGCTTCTTTCAAAGCGATCTTCAGGCGAATGAAGTTGATTCAATGACGTGCTCTAAACTAACGGTTTGCTGACGCATCTCGCGTGCGTTCAAATTTGCGCGCGCTAAAACTATTTCTATGACAGCATTTCGCGAATATTTCTGAGCGTTTATTCAATATCCTGCTTTTGTCAGCTTCCAGTAAGCAAACCTTCTCTTCAAGGCACAGATTGCATCTTGCTGCACCAGCCGTATGCGCACGGGCACGCTTTAGTATGCTCCACTTGATGTTGTATTGCTTCCCGCTTTTCTTGAGTTTCCACGCATACTTTGATAACTCTGTTTCCGCTGAATACCGAGGAACAGTTAGTGAATTTTATGGTTCGCATGCCTCTTCTTGAACGTCCCCGCCGTCATTCCAATGTATTCCTTCGTTTCTTCGCCGTCACATGTCGAGATTTCTGCTTTGTATACAACACTTGTTGATAAACATTTATTGTCAAGCGGACATTTGTTTTTATCATGACAGTTACACATTTCTTTACTTTCTGGCTGGTTGCTTTTTCCAAGCAGGTGTTGATTGCGGTTGGAGATAACGCTCTTGATGTTGTTCATGCACGAGTAGCTCACTTTTACGCTGTTTCTATTGAAGATCTTGTTTAGGCGAGATGTTTTGGGGAAATGCTTGTCAATTAGTTGAAGGAAGTTACGTGCAATGTTTGTTTTAACATTCTTGCTGAAGGGAGGGTTGGACCATATAATATTTCTTTTCCGCCTTCTCGTTTTTGATGATGGGGTATCGTTACAGTTTTCATCAGCAGACCTTTATTTTGTTAACCTAGAGTTTAAAATGTACACAATAACAATGCTTGGCTGCCAACTGCCTTCCTCGTTTGAACGAGGATAACTGTATTTCTAGCTTTAATGTGGAAGCATTGATTTTATGACCATGAAAAGCAGAAAGATCTGCAGAAACAAAAGTGTGACAATATATTAGCCACCCTAATAATCTGCAAGGTGTCTGCCGTATTATATTTTACACTATCAAATTATCAATCTGCATGTAGTAAAATCGTTATAGTCTTCGTTTAATTACGGACAACAAGAATTAATTATTCGCACCTGCAACGCAGTTGTGCACTCTATTTTTCCGTTTTGATTACACAATCAATAATCTTAAAATGCACAAGATTCAATTCAACTACTCGCTGAAAAACATTGGTTTGCCAACACATAATCAATATCGAAGACGCCTGATTGAAAAAGTGGAAAGCGTCGTCCAACGTATGCGGTGGAAAGCGAATTTTTTTCTTGGTGGTGATAGTAATAACTTAAGAGACAGTAAATTTGGACTACCGTCTAGGAAATGTGCGCCCAATGTTACTGAAATGAAAGGATTTGAGGAAGATCTGATCCGAATGGTAACAAATGTCAAATTTAAAAATGTCGTCGACCCTTTCTTAGACAATGTTGCTGAAGATTTAGAAAAAGTTAATTCGTCGGAAAATGTTTTAATATTCGCTGACAAAACCAGAAATATTTACGAAGTAACACCTGGAGCATATGATAAACTAATGGCTGATAACATTACTAAAACCTATAAACTGGGAAACGACAATTTACCTGAGGATATCAATACTGAATTAAAGAACATTGCAAGTAATCTTTCTATCGCAGATTGCGTCGATACCATGGCAAAAAGAAACGCATTTATAACGCTCAAGGACCACAAAGATAACTTTGATTCAAACCCGAAATGTCGCCTAATTAATCCAGCAAAGAGCGAGCTTGGTAAAGTAAGTAAAGTCATACTTGATGAGATTAACAACAAGATTAGATCAATACTTAACGTAAACCAGTGGAAGAACTCGTTATCTGTTATTGACTGGTTCAGAGATATCAATAACAAACCGAACCACACATTCCTATCTTTCGATATTGTCGAGTTTTATCCATCCATTACAGAAAGTCTTCTCGACAAAGTTATCTCATGGGCTAAAACATTAACAAGCATTACCGAAGAGCAAATATCAATCATCAAACACGCAAGAAAAGTCTTGCTGTTCTACGGTGAAACGACATGGGCAAAGAAAAACAACGCGTCGCTATAATTTGACGTTGCAATGGGTAGTTATGATGGCGCAGAAATATGCGAACTTGTCGGCCTATTCATTCTAAAAGAAATTTCGGATAAGTTTGGGAAAGAAAACGTGGGGTTATATCGGGATGACGGTTTAATGCTATTACATGGTAAGAGCGGGAGGCTAGCGGACAAAGCAAGAAAAACATTGCATACTATCTTCCACGATTTAGGCTTAAAGATTACAGCCGAAGTCAACAATCACATCGTGAACTTTCTTGACGTTACATTGAATCTGCAAGAAGAGACATTCTCCCCATACCGAAAACCGAACAACGATCCCCTCTATGTTGACAGTCGTTCAAATCATCCACCTTCTATCATAAAGCACATCCCGGAAGCAATTAACACACGAATCTCCACCTTATCGTCCGACCAAACTTCATTCAACTTATCCGCACCTTTCTACCAGAACGCACTACGCCGTAGTAATTACAATACAACTTTACAATACTCTGCTGATGAAAACTGTAACGATACCCCATCATCAAAAACGAGAAGGCGGAAAAGAAATATTATATGGTTCAACCCTCCCTTCAGCAAGAATGTTAAAACAAACATTGCACGTAACTTCCTTCAACTAATTGACAAGCATTTCCCCAAAACATCTCGCCTCCACAAGATCTTCAATAGAAACAGCGTAAAAGTGAGCTACTCGTGCATGAGCAACATCAAGAGCGTTATCCCCAACCGCAATCAACACCTGCTTGGAAAAAGCAACCAGCCAGAAAGTAAAGAAATGTGTAACTGTCATGATAAAAACAAATGTCCGCTTGACAATAAATGTTTATCAACAAGTGTTGTATACAAAGCAGAAATCTCGACATGTGACGGCGAAGAAACGAAGGAATACATTGGAATGACGGCGGGGACGTTCAAGAAGAGGCATGCGAACCATAAAAAATCACTAACTGTTCCTCGGTATTCAGCGGAAACAGAGTTATCAAAGTATGCGTGGAAACTCAAGAAAAGCGGGAAGCAATACAACATCAAGTGGAGCATACTAAAGCGTGCCCGTGCGTATACGGCTGGTGCAGCAAGATGCAATCTGTGCCTTGAAGAGAAGGTTTGCTTACTGGAAGCTGACAAAAGCAGGATATTGAATAAACGCTCAGAAATATTCGCGAAATGCTGTCATAGAAATAGTTTTAGCGCGCGCAAATTTGAACGCACGCGAGATGCGTCAGCAAACCGTTAGTTTAGAGCACGTCATTGAATCAACTTCATTCGTCGCCTGAAGATCGCTTTGAAAGAAGCGTGAAACACAGTGTAGCGACAAATATATTTTAAGATTAAAGAATTATATATATATATATATATATATATATATATATATATATATATATATATATATATATATATATATATATATATATATATATATATATAAATAAAAGATTTCAACGTGCAACCAAAAGAGACATTTATAACGTAAAATAAAATAAAAGCCACTCAAATTTTGCACAAACGTTTTCGCTTTAATGTTAGCTCCTCAGGTACATATTTACAATGAGTGGAATTTAGTTTATCTATTATCTACGTTCTATGATATCATATTATAATAACTATGTTAGGAATGCATATATTTACATGGTGTGAAGTCACCCGTTAAAAACATTCTATTGATCTAAATGTGAGCATAAACTTAATGGTTTTTTAATTAGCGTTCAGATCCGGATTCAGTATATTGATATACTATATATATATATATATATATATATATATATATATATATATATATATATATATATATATATATATATATATATATATATATATATATATATATATATATATATATATATATATATATATAGTACAATCTGCAGACATGCATGTTTCGGCGTTCAACGCCTCGTCAGTGCAGCTTGGTACACATCTAGATGCATGATACCTCGGTATTTATACACGTGAGCGTGCTCTCACCAAGCGCATGTGGTACAACACGAAGGTATCGACGCATCCATGCAGACATGCACAGAGTGCAATGGGGCAGTGTGCTCAAACAACCACAAGGGAAGTGAGGTTTGCATTATCGCTAATAGTCACCCATTATCAACTACATTAACCCGAAAATTGTTGTAGCTATAATTATGACGATCGACATTCTGCATCATAGCGCTCGTGTAAGGAAGAAAAACACTTTAAAAATCTTAATATGTTTTATCTCATATGTGTTAACGAGTAGGCTACTACAAAGTGACAGAAACTTAATTTTTAATCCAGTCTCCCCCAGGCATGCAATCTGATGTCCGTTTTGCCAAAAACGACGCTTCAGCTTAAGCTCTATAATAAGAAATATCCTGGGCGTGTTGAGAAATCATGAACTAGAGAGTAAATTTTGACTTAAATAAATCTTAATATCTTGTTGCATTCCTTATTTTTTATTATTACAATGTTTTCATGAATTGTTTACAGAATACGGAGGTAGGCCGGCCGGCTTAATTCTCCGTTTTGCAAGAATACAATCCATGTAGGATTTGTTATACTATTTTTGCTTATTATAAGATTCGATCACGATTTGTTTAACTGAAATAATAACAGTTGTTCTGGAGCCGGTTGTACGAAGGCCGGATAGTCCTATCGAACAGCGATTTGTCTTAACCTTTCTAAAATTTTCTAAAAAACTGCGAAACCACGCATATGAAGCTCACAATTAATATAAAGGCCGTTTTCCACTAGGCGGAATTTTCCGCGCGGAGCGAAGTTTCTCTTTGTCTTTTCTAATTAGTTCCACCCGAGAAATCACAAGACAAAGAAGAATTCCGCTCCGAACAAACAGCTGGGAAATTTGTTGTCTCTGTGCAGGGAAATTGCTGGCGCACACGATATTTCGCAAAAATTCGAAAATTTGAAAAAACAACACCAGTGGAATTTCAACTTATAATTTTGCATTTTTTAAGACGGCGATCAAGGAGATTAAATTGTAGGAAAAACTTCACTAACATCTCAAGTATTGAAAATATTTACATTATCAGCATTTTAATTGTGGATTGATTCAAAATTCAGGCGATAAAATTACACAGCTAGGAGTTGACTTTTTTGCTCTTCGAATGTCCATTTTCATTCGTGGATTACCACAACTTATTGGTTAATTCGTGGGTGCTAAAATCGACATAAACGTAAACCGGCAACCAAGAGCTATAAAACAAATGGCTTTTAGTAGTATAGTAGGTGGTTTTCGGGCCGGATTTTTGGGGCGGCGCGGGGCTGCGCATCATTATATATGCAGGTAATTACTATGCAAGGGGGCGGCGCATCATTATATATCCAGGTAATTAAGGGGCCCGCACAAATGAGGGTGCGTAATGACGTCACTCATTAACATACGTGATAATTATATGCAATGACGTCACGCGGGCGGGCTTGAACACGATCGGTTGAAACTTGCTGACTACGCATTTTTTAGCGTCCCTCCACGTGTATGATACAATAGTTAGGGCTATACACAAGAGAATATGTTGTTGTCTGGAGTTTTATAAGTACAGCTCTAGCATTTTGCCGTTATTTTCAAGTGATTCCTTTAATTTAGCTCCTAGAGGAGTAAAAAATCTGATACTATACGAAATAGCATTAGTGTTATATATCTAAAACTTATATATTCGGGGTATACAGCTATATGTTTTGTTGTTAAGTAATATATAAATATTATCAAGCGTCAAAACGCTGAGAAATAGCATGCGGTAAAAGTTATTATATATCTACAATCAAACTAATATTTAAATCCCGGTCTGCCATATGAGGTCTATATATGAGAGAATATGTTGCTGTTTAGAGTTATATAAACACATGGAAATTAGAGGTTATGATATATAATTGTCAAGGGATTTCTATATTTTAGTGGTAGTTTTTTAAAGTACTAAAACTCGGATAAGGTTAATAAATTTAAGCTATATTAAAGCACACCGGTTGCTATGTGTTGTTAGGGTGAAACTAATTAAAGGATTAACTTTTATCAGAGATTAGCATTTTTCTACTGTGTGGATAAATACGTGTAGATTAGGATATTCATTGCGCGGGCGTCGCGGGTTATCCGTGCGGGAAGAGAGAAAGCGATTTAGACAAGACAGGAGCGCTTTGCAGCTAAAAGTTGAAAGACTTTGTGTGGAATCCTGTCAAAGACAACATGACTGCCTCATGATGAACGAAAACGAACGATGGCAAATAAGGAATCTATTCGTCACAAAAATCAAGACATATTTTAAACTAAACAGTTCCTAATCCCGAGTTGTCAACGTCGTTGTTAAGGTTAATATTTACATGTTGTTCAACGTTATTTTAGCAAATATTCTACATACATATATACTGTTAAGATGACCGAGTCAGATCATAAGTATGCTTATCAAGAATATAAGTTAGAACTGGAACAGTTGTAATATATTTTGCGATAAAAACATGTAATCGTTATATACGTTGTTGTCACTTGTTTCAGGGGTTTCGCTCTCAGATTCTTCATCATAGCTACTTTCATTATCGTGGTTGCTTTCATCTAAGATATTGATATCCTAAGATACTGATATCCTAAGATACCGATATCCTAAGATATTGATATCCTAAGATGTTGATATCCTAAGACATTGATATCCTAAGATATTGATAACCTAAGATACTGATATCCTAAGATACGGATATCCTAAGAAAATGATAACCTAAGATACGGATATCCTAAGAAAATGATATCCTAAGAAAATGATATCCTAAAATCCTGATCAGCTCCTTAGGCTCGGAGCCAGCTCTTTAGGCTCGGAGCCGAGCTCCTTAGGCTCGGAGCCAGCTACTTAGGCTCGGAGCCAGCTCGTTAGGCTCGGAGCCAGCTCCTTAGGCTCGGAGCCGAGCTCCTTAGGCTCGGAGCCAGCTCCTTAGGCTCGGAGCCAGCTCCTTAGGCTCGGAGCCAGCTCCTTAGGCTCGGAGCCAGCTCTTTAGGCTCGGAGCCGAGCTCCTTAGGCTCGGAGCCAGCTCCTTAGGCTCGGAGCCAGACTCCTTAGGCTCGGAGCCAGCTCCTTAGGCTCGGAGCCAGCTCCTTAGGCTCGGAGCCAGCTCCTTAGGCTCGGAGCCAGCTCCTTAGGCTCGGAGCCAGCTCCTTAGGCTCGGAGCCAGCTCCTTAGGCTCGGAGCCAGCTCCTTAGGCTCGGAGCCAGCTCCTTAGGCTCGGAGCCACCTCCTTAGGCTCGGAGCCAGCTCCTTAGGCTCGGAGCCAGCTCCTTAGGCTCGGAGCCAGCTCCTTAGGCTCGGAGCCAGCTCCTTAGGCTCGGAGCCAGCTCGTTAGGCTCGGAGCCGAGCTCCTTAGGCTCGGAGCCAGTTGCATAGAAACACGGTTCTATGTATTGTTGCTTTCAGGAAGAGCTTCTGTGAAGCTTCTGTCACAGAAGCTCTTCCTGAAAGCAACAATACATAGAACCGTGTTTCTATGCAACTGGCTCCGAGCCTAAGGAGCTCGGCTCCGAGCCTAACGAGCTGGCTCCGAGCCTAAGGAGCTGGCTCCGAGCCTAAGGAGCTGGCTCCGAGCCTAAGGAGCTCGGCTCCGAACCTAACGAGCTGGCTCCGAGCCTAAGTAGCTGGCTCCGAGCCTAAGGAGCTCGGCTCCGAGCCTAAAGAGCTGGCTCCGAGCCTAAGGAGCTGATCAGGATTTTAGGAAATCATTTTCTTTGGATATCATTTTCTTAGGATATCCGTATCTTAGGTTATCATTTTCTTAGGATATCCGTATCTTAGGATATCAGTATCTTAGGTTATCAATATCTTAGGATATCAATATCTTAGGATATCAATATCTTAGGATATCAATATCTTAGGATATCAATATCTTAGGATATCGGTATCTTAGGATATCAGTATCTTAGGATATCAATATCTTAGATGAAAGCAACCACGATGATGAAAGTAGCTATGATGAAGAATCTGAGAGCGAAACCCCTGAAACAAGTGACAACAACGTATATAACGATTACACGTTTTTATCGCAAAATATATAACAACTGTTCCAGTTCTAACTTATATTCTTGATAAGCTTACTTATGATCTCACTCGGTCATCTTAACAGTATATATGTATGTAGAATAGTTGCTAAAATAACGTTGAACAACATGTAAATATTAACCTTAACAACGACGTTGACAACTCGGGATTAGGAACTGTTTAGTTTAAAATATGTCTTGATTTTTGTGACGAATAGATTCCTTATTTGCCATCGTTCGT